GATCATACACAGGGGCAAAGTTTGATATTTTGAAGTTTTTAAAAAAATCCGGAATTTCATTTTCATCATATCGATCTGAATTTTTATAATGGAATAGCCCACAATATGTGCATCAAAAAGTTCAAATAGCAAAAGTTTTTAGAATCAAAACTAGCGGGTATATAGAGGGTTAAATTTTGTTTTTGGTCATTTATATCGAACTTTTTTAGAGCTCCCACCAATATATATATAGAGGATTTTTTGTAGCTAATATACGAATGTGTCAACGTCTGTACTCATTAATCTGAATCCAGATAAAGTTGCGGCGATGGTCCAAAAAATATGGAGAAGAGATGTTTTGGAATAATTTTGGAATGAGTTCCAAAATAATCTGTGAATTTATTTCATTTTCTGACATAATGTAGGCGAGTCATTTTTGATCAAAAAGTTCTACAGTGCCTACCTCGCGGATGCCACGGTTTGAATTATACAGGGGTTTGAAGTTTAGTATTTCATCGATTTCTTAAATAATCAATAATTCCTTTGTAAGGGACAAAATATTTCAATGACAAAATTATCCGGAATGAGAATTCATGATTATACAGAGGTTGCAACTCGTCCAAAAAATTTTTTTCCAAAATATTACTAGTATTCGTTTGTTTACTATTCATATTTTATATATTCAGAAATTCTATTCAGAAATTCTATGTTTTAGAAAAATACAGGATGAGAACAATAATTTATTCTCGAAAAAGATGCTGTTAAACAAGTGTCTTCTGGAGAGGATCATGGCATCATTATGCGTATTAGTATAACAGATATTTCTGTTTTGCACCATCCAATGTTTTCACATTTCGTTCTAATAATGAAAGATGAAAAATTATAGCGAGGAATGATATGCTTTCGTTTATATTCAGGTCTACATAACTGCCATTATTGTCAATAAATTGTGACGGCAACCGATAGATACATGAAATATGAATTCAGCACGATTCCAAACATATGGTCTGATTCAGAGGAAACAGAAATAATGGTAAGTACCACAACATCTATCGTTATCGTTCCTAGGGGTGCGATAGCTGATTAACGGAAAAAACACATATTTTGAGTTCTTAGCTCTTTTGCTACGTTCCTCTAGTTCGTAGATCATGGTTTCGATGGCAGCAACTGGTTTTTTAAAGGTATCAGCCACTGGAATCGAGTTGATTTTGTTAACCTTATTCTCTAGGGTCTCAATCTGCTTCTTCATAACTGGCCCAAGTCGGAGACCTTCTAAACATGCTTCGCTGAAATATTTGAGTATTCTTACTAGAAACAAATTATCAAAATTGGGTAGTGTGCTTTTATTATTGGCAAATGGAATGAAAAATGTTTTTTCAAAATTGACAGTTAATATTTTTTGACTGAACCAACTGAATATGATTTTCAGATCTGCTTCTACTTTGTTTTTCAATGTGTCCCATGTTTGATCTGTATAGAGGATAACAGTGTCATCGGCGAAGCTGATAATGTTTCCTGTTGACATGTTTGACAATAATAAGTCATTTATATAAATGGAGAAGAGTATCGGTCCTAAAACTGTACCTTGGGATAAGCCGTAGTTGATTACCCCTTCTTCACTTAGTACATTATTAATTTTCACTACTTGTCTTCTATCAGAAAGGTAACTAGTGAGTAGTTTGTTCGGTTCTCCTCGTAATCCTATATCGTCCAAAGTTTGTAACAACTGCTCATGGCTAACCGTGTCAAAAGCCTTGGCCAAATCCAGGAACACTCACAAATTGGGCTGACTCTTATCTAAGGACATAGGTACTTCTTTGGTTAGGTAGGCAATTGCATCGTTTGTTGACATTTTCTCTCGAAAGCCAAATTGCTTATCAGATATTATTTTATGTTTGTTTAAGAAGTCATTTATTCTGTTCTTAAGTGCTTTTTCGAATATTTTTGCAAGAGAGGTAATTACTGATATGGGTCTGTAATTCGATAATAATGTTTCATCTCCCTTTTTGTAGATTGGTGTGATTACGGATTTTTTGAAACCACTCGGACATTTGCTAGTAGCAAATATGTTATTAAGGTGGGTAAGAAGTGACAGACTTTCATTTGAGATTTCTTGGATCACTTTTGTGCTTATTCCATCTACTCCTGGAGTTTTCTTGAAATCTAGTTCTTAAATTATGGTTAATATTTCCTTCTCGTCTACAGGGTTAAGAAAGTTTGGTAAAGCCTTGTTCTATTTTGTCTTCGTGACTTTTTTGGTATTTTATTGGCGAGCGACTCTCCAACTCCACAAAAATATTTGTTGAAAGCATTTGCTTTTGATTCTTCAGAAATCAATAGTTCGTTGTTTTCGTTTTCGACGTCCTCAATTTTATTTTCTGTTTTTTTTTTTCGTTAACTATTTGCCACAATTTTTTTGGTGACTTCCTATTGTTACCTATTTGTGTTTTATAATGATTATATTTTGATAGTTTGATCAATTTATTCAATTGTGTTATATATTCGTCATAAGTTTGCCTTCTGTCTGTATTGGTGGGATCTTTTCTGTATTCATGATATATTTGGTTTTTTGTTCACTGATTCACTGATCACCTGGAGTGATCCAATCATTACGTTTTATTTCATTCCTATCAATTTTCTCCACTATAGTATTCATAGCAATGAGATGTTTGAGTGTCTCTGTTAAGTTAGTTAGGAGTATTTCTGAGTCTGTCTCACTCAAGTAATTGTTACAATCTTTTCTTAAGTAGTTGAAGTTCGTAATATATTTTATTTTTAGATCGTTATAACATTTTTTGTTTCCGAATATAAAGTTGGTATTCCTAGAATTGTCGCTCTGTGGTCTGAAATGTAATTCTCATATGTTAGTGCTGTACAATTTTTGTTTAATTCAGAAAAATTCGATATAAGCCACATAGTTTCAAAAAATCAATTTCAATTTATTCAATTCTTTATTTATCCATTCGAGCAAATACAGCTATAGGACAAGTCAAAAAACATATAGACATACAACAAAGTACAGTGAGTAAAATGATAAAATAAAATAACAGCTGAAATTCCATCATAACCACAGGAGGGCTTATTTTTAATTTTATATTTTATAACATTGAGAACATCTATCTCAGAAACATATTGAACAAACATACTCTCTGTTTGAAAATTATTTTGTGGATATTTAATTCGATGATTTAGGTGTTGTATATTTCCTATTGTTTCCTTAGGTATGTTTACAAAATAATCATTAAATATATTTGATAAAATTGATGGTTCTTCAATAATTTCATTATGTAATTTTATTGCGATGTGTTTTTGGGGTTTATTTTTTCCATTGAGCTCATTTATAATCTGCCAAGTAGACTTACTTTTGTTTGATGAATTTTGAATTTTATTGATGTAAAATTGACTTTTCGTACTTAACAAGAGGTTTTTATGTTGTTTTTTGGCAAATTTATACTCAGGATCAAGTATTGGAAATTGTTTTCTTAGGTAATGTAATTGTTTCAAATCTTTAGATGATTTTTTTATTTCATTTGTTACCCATTCATTTCCAGTGGTTTTTTTAATTTTTTTGTTTTTAATGGGACACGTGGCTTCAAAGTTGTAAATCAATGTGTCAAGAAAGGCGTTAAATTTTGAATCAGTATTGTTTACCAAGTAAACCTCTTCCCAGTTTTCCTTCTTTAATAAGAAGTGGAAGTTAACTATATAACGGGATACATATTTCCGAAATTGAAAATATATTTGAAGTTGGATTGTTGGTTCAAATGCAGAATATGATCACCCTCTTATGTAATGTAAGTAACATCAATTGCATATGGATCTGCAGGAAAACATATTTTCTCGAAAAAAGTTCGATAAAAACTACCAAAAACAAAGTTTAACCTTCTGAATACCCGCCAGTTTTGATTCTAGAAACTTTTGTCATTTGAACTTTTTGATGCACATTTTGTGGACTATTCTATTATAAAAATTCAGATCGATATGATGAAAATGAAATACCGGATGTTTTAAAAAATCGTCAAAATATCAAAGTTTGACCGCCTATAGAACCCAAACGCCGGAATTCAGAGAGTTGGCGCAATGGTAACTTCTGTTCAGGATGGTCTACATCATATTGAAATTTCAGCGATTTTCACGGAAACCCGTTTTCCATAAGATTAGTGTGGGGTCCTTTCTATTGAACATGCCTGAAGAATCTATTGTATTGTGAGACACATGTTGCGGTTTTGTGAACTGTTTAGTGAAATTATCACAATGAAGTGTTATCCAAATACTCAATAGTTATTAAAGTGTTTATCCTAAGTTATCAGCAGAGATTTTCATTTCCCGACTTATCGACCGTTTCTTTGGGTAGGGGAAAACTTGCCTCAAATATCGAAGATATTACACTCTCATCTGCTAGCCTCGAAGAAGTGGCACCTAAGAACCTGATCAAATTCACCAGAAGTTCTCACCAATCCGTGGCTCAAATAAATTGTAGTTAGATACAAAAAACTTATGAGTCGCAGTACTGTAAGTCAGAAAGCATTAAAATTTGAAATATGCAATTAGAATGTCATGTTTAGATTTGGGAGCTCTACAGGTAACCTTACGAGAGTCATTCAACAATTCTGGTATATAGAATATTGTCTTGATATTTTTGTTTACTCTGATAGAATTCCTCTTGTATGCCTTGTACATATTGAGGGTTTTACTGGACTTTCACCGATGCTAGTAAATTTTCGAAATATTCAGACAACCATTATCCAAAATTTGTAAATTTATTAAAGCCGACCAGACAATCAAAATAAAAATTTAAATGATCATTGAATCGTCTATATCTTTGATGATAAAGTCATGTGCAGTTTTTAAAGAACTACATTATTGAAATATCATTATAAAAATTTTAAATCACTGCATAAATAGAAGACTTGAGATGCAAGAGTTGTCACTCTTGTGCTTAATACTTAGAGTAAAATAAAAATGTAACTTTTTAATAAACTCAACAATATAGTACCAATTATTGATAGAATTAATTGAAATAAACTCATAACAAATAAGTTGATATTTATTAACATAATTTAGAAGTTTACAAAATCTATGATCATGTTATTTATCTTTGTTTTTTATTAGGAGTCCTGCCTTTACTACTGTTATTACTACCACCTTTACGAGCACCTTTACTTTTTCTTCCCCTTCCCATAGTCTTCATCTTCTTCTTTTGTGCTTTCAAATCTTTCTTCATCCTTGCATCTACAACCTTATAATGACCTTTAACTCCACTTGGTCTCTGAACTCTTTTTGCAGCCATATGTTTCTTCGATACAACATATGTCACCTCCTTCTTGGGCTCCTGTTTAGCCTTCTTGTATAACCTAGGAGAAAAATGTCTCATTAGAATATGAAATTTTACGAAGCAAGTATTAAGACTTCAAATAGTTTAGCAAATAGCATATACTATGCTTTCTTCCCTTCCAGTAGTCACGCCCCTTTTTATGTATTTATGATTTTATATAAACTTGTGATGAAAGTCTCTCTTGATTGGTTACTCCACAGAAATACAGTTGATCACTATATAAAATTTATAACTGCAGCTAACACAATCCATAGCTACAGCTGAATCAAAAGTTAAAATCAATTAAATAAAAAAACACAGAAAACAGTACTAATTGAAATGGAGGTCACTTCAACTTATGTTTCAAAGTGCTTTTGAATACAGAGAGATGTGGCATCTTGAATAAATTTAGGTGAATCACTGAAAGCATCAAGTAAAACAAATTGGAGATTATTTTTAAAATGCTGTGACTTTCAGTTCAGGCAGCAGTTGGCTATGCTCCACATAAGCCTGTTTTGTGATAGCCAGGCAGCATGTCTCAACATGGTTAAGTGCCACTATTTTTTGGGTTGAAGGTCTTGGATTTTTGAAACTTCTTTCTGAAATTTGGCTAGCGCGAGTTGCTAGCTTACTCAGAGGTTTATAAATCCTGAGTTAATATCTCTGATGACATCGGAGGATGTTAAACCTCTAGGAAGCGAAAAATCGGAAAGAAATTCCAAAAATACACAGCCTTCAAGCGGCCACCAGGCTATTGTTTCGTATGTAATTGTTGGTCTAACAATCATCACAAATATTCAAAAGATTTGTTTGCGACCCAAGCCGCAAGATTTTCACAAAAACTTAAACTTATCCATAAGGACAGTCTGACTATGTGAAACATTTTCCAAGTCAGCGTTCCAGATGACTTTTTCACCAAAGATATCAATCAATCAACAATCAAAACTGTGCTTTATTGTCTAAGAAATATACTTCTTATTGACAAAGTTATTAGATTTGTAAATCTGCAAAAAATACTTACTCAGTTACATTAATATATAAATAAAACAAGTACAACAATAAAAATGGAAATAAACTGTTTAAATAAAAGTTTATGAGCTGAGGTCTACAATGTTCTCTTGCTCCAACCCTGCACAAGTATCTTTTATCTCTTTTTTGTAATAAATATGCTATACCATATCTGATATGAGACTCACGAGAGAGAAGTATGTATTTTAGTCAATAATTCCATTAAGCTCATTAGATTGTATCCTTACTGAATAAGCAACCTGTTACTACCTTTCTACTCAGTGATGTATCATGGTCGCTAAATCTTAATTGATAAAATCAATATACATACCTAGAAATTCAGTACATGATTTATTTCCAACTTGATGTTTATCTAAGATGAGATTGCCGAATTTGAATTTGAAGATTATTGTGATTGTTTTCTTTACATTGAAATAAACCGAATTTGAGTAACCCCAAGATTTCATTTATTTTTTGGGCTATGGTCTTTTTAGTACACCCTCAGAGTTTAATATATAAGTTTGAAAATGTCCTTATAGAACGAAACTGCAGTAACGTTAGTTACAAATAAAAGTGGTAAAAAACATAGAAAGTTTCAATTCTCTTTTCTTCATTATGATCTCCTACCACGTAGTAACGGCTACATCCATCAATTTATTTATTTATTTATTTACGGACACGCCCATTTAAAGTATTACAATGTTGAATTATAATTAAAATAAAATCAGATAAGATAATGAATTACAAATTCCAACTAACAATAGCTCAAAAGGGGTAAATTTGAAGTTAAAAAAGGGGTTAATTTTGAAGTATAAAACGACAAAAAAACAATGAGCGACAATGAAACATATACTACCATAAACTATACACTAAAACATTAAAGCACAGTATTCCGTAATTGAGTTTTAAAATGATGCAAGGAGATGTTAAACATATCAAGATCAACGTTACTATTGGCTAATCGTAAGATTCTTGAAATGCAGCTATTGAATGTGTGGTTCAAACGATAATTTGTCTTATATATTCATTATCCAGAAAAGAATACTAAGAGTAATATTGAAACTGAACTTTCTTCAGTCGTGCTAGAGAATATTCAAAGCAAATAATATCTTTGACAGTATATGCGAGTCTAGTAAACCCATTTAAAAAAGCTTGGTCTAACTATGACTTGGTCTAGCTTGAAAGCTAGACCAATTCTAATTATGACTTGATCTGGCTTGAAAGCTAGACTGAGTCATAATTATCCTACACCCATCCTATGCATCTATAAGATTTTTCAATAAATTACCGCAGAGACTCAAAATGTTATCCTGAAAAAATTCAAAGAAGATGTCAGAGAGCTTCTGAACAAGTTAAATCATTTTTCACTTAAGTAATATCTAGATAGTTCTGAAACTTTTATGTAAAAAATATGTGAAATTGTTTCATTTCATATTTATGTTCTTTTTTTAAAGCAAAGCATTCTCTGAAATATATTGCTGTTATTAATATTCTCATTATTGCATTTTTGTTTTGTTACCAAAAGTTTGCAAGTGTATGTTTCTAGAATACAGTTTCCTGTACAATATAATATTCACAAGTGAAGAATATCTCAATTGCATAATTAATGAAGAAAAGAGAATTGTAACTTATATTTTTTACCACTTTATTTGTAACTAATGTTACTGCAGTTTCGTCCTATAAGGACATTTTCAAACTTACACATTAAACTCTTGAAAATGTCCTTATAGGACGAAACTGCAGTAACGTTAGTTACAAATAAAAGTGGTAATTATCATAAAAAGTTTCAATTCTCTTTTTTTCATTATGATTTCCTACCACGTAGTAACAGATACATCCATCAATTTATTGCATAATTAATTATTCTGTGATATTAAATATCATTTGTCTACTCACTGTCTTATCTGTTTAGCTTTTTCACGATCAGTTACGTCAACATTGTCCATAAGTGCCTCAACTTTCTTCTTGGCTCTGTCTAATTTCTTCAATGCACGTTTCTTCTTTCTTGCTTTTGCCTCAATAACCTTTTTGATGGGTCTCACATTTATATCTTCCAATTTTTTATTATATTCGTCAACTAATTCCTGAAAATGAAATTATCTATAATTTTCCTATCAAAATAAAATAAAAGTTATCCGCTTAACAAACATTTATTAATGATGTATAAAAGTTTTTTATTTCCAGAGCTCAGATTTGAACCACTCATTTAAGAGTTAAGAAAATATACTTTTTTTGAATGTAACAACTCTGAAAATGACAGAGAAAATGAGAATCTTTTGAATTGTTGATTTTAGTTGTTGATTAATTCCATTTTTACTAAATAATCCAATAAAAATACAGGTTATGTAGCTTATTCGGGATTTGGATATGTAATAACGGGAAAAAAATGAATTTGTTGGAAGCCATGAAAATTAACCTAAACTTTTTCTTCCTTATAATATCATCTACAATACCCCTCTCTTGTACTATTTGTGGTGTCCAATCCACATATTTCTTCTTTCAGAAGCAAGATAGTCAGAAATACCTGGAATATCTATATGTTACTTTGATCACCGAATCGGGGTCAGAGATGATTAAAACATCAATGAAATTCTGGCTGGTATTAGTTATTCTGGTTGGCTCAATTATCAATAGGGATAAATTGAATGCAGTTGAATAATTGCAATTAACAATTGAATATTAAAGAATTCATTTTGGATGAGGGCCTCACTGGAACATTATGTCATTGAGTGGAATAATTGAAATTGTCATTTTGTTCTAAGATATAGCGTATGTGCAGTTACCCTGCTTCTATGTGTATGTGTGTGTGTATAAGGGTTTATTATTATTTCAAAATTTTTTTTCTTTCTTATTACTTATATTGGGCGTCAGTTATTATAATTTTGATATGAAATTGAATTTCATTTTATAGATTTTAACTGAATTTGATTTTTTTTGTTTTTAAGTAAATATAATAAGTGATATTTTGTCTATGTATAACTGTTATAATGTTATTTCAAAATCCTTTTTCTTTCTAGTTACTTATATTGGGCGCCAATTATTATAATTTGAATATGGAATTACATTTTATTTTATAGATTTCAATTTCAATGTGAAATTTGTAGAAAATTCAATTTCACTTCACTCTATTCTAAATTTTTTAAATTTACTAGAGAGCAAAAATTTGGTGTGGTGTGATATTTACATATTAGAAACTATGATCTCTCTATTTCCTTTTAATATTCGCAGCTCTGATTGAAAATTCTATAAATGTATACATTGTGCTAAACAATTCCTAAAGTTCTGTTGCCAAGGTATATTTTTACACTAATTTGTAACTAAACAATTTGTTGATTTCATATATTCACAACTACTTTAATTGTTGCGTTTTTCATTTCTGTACATATTATTAGTGATCAACATAATTTTCATAATGTTGACACTGTAGGTTTTTGTGATATTGATATGGTATTTTGTTGGTTCCTAATTTTTATGGGTTGTCATTTGCATCGTAGTTTTTGCTCAGTTCTAATTATTGACAGTAATAAGTTAAATTGTATTACCTTTAGGTAAACCTGTAAATTTGACTATTACTGAAACTGTACCTCCCTGAAAACAATGATGACTTCCATTTCATATAAAACAGTTATACTTATCATTTCAACCCTTCTGCTCGTTGCCTCATCAAAATTCTACAACCATCACTCACCTTTGGAACCGGAACTTCCCTTTTCATATGTTTCTCTTCTTCTTTAACAAACCAGTCTGGCAAATTATCATCATTAAACGTGTATCTGTTCCAAGCGGCATCCACAAGATCTCGTTTTGCCTTTTTGCTGTTGACTATAACACTTCCAAGGGCCAATTCTTCTGAGCTCAATTTATGTTTTCGTTTTTTACCTAGATAGAACAATTTTTTGTTACTTAATATTGAGAATCACAGATCAATGAGTGATCATTTTTAATCATATTGTTCAAACTGTTTCAAAATCAGATTTTCTCTATGAAATTTTGAAATGATTCCAAACATCAGTATTATTGTTGAAAAAGTGGTTGAGAATATTTGCTTCAGAAATCATTTGCAACTAATTTACCAAATATCAAAAAAATTACTGACAGAATAAATTAAATTATATTACACACAGACATTTACACACTTTTTCAAATCCATCATTTGAAAGCAAAAAATTTCTTGACAAATTCAAACTTGGCTGAAAGCTCATGACAGATGAAATCATAATTAATAATTATTTATTAATTAAGTATTGCAGAAAAGGATTCGAAGGCTGTAATAATAATCTAGCTGTAAGAGTTCTGGCTCATTCCTTATGGAAAATCACTTGCAAATTTGAGCAGGTCCATTCTGGCGATTTCTGGACCTCAGGCCCATTTCACACAGAATGGACGTCTGGCAGAGACGAGGCGATCATTCTGTGTAAAATTGGACTTAGACCTACAAAGCCCGCTTCAGACCACCCCCACTCCTCCACTTTTGCCGTCATCCAGTCGACCAATAGGATTATTGTTTCATAACATTATATAATGTTTTGTTCAATACATATTCACATACATTCACTTTTTTTTTTCTTTTTTTGTGATTTGCTGTTATTTGGTTATAATAGACTAATTTATCTTGACTTTTGTGTATTATGTTTAGATAAAGTACACTGATTATGTTTATATTAGGCTTGCCTATCTGGAAGTAAAGTTCTTCTTCTATTTATAATTTACTTTACTTCTTAATTTCAATTTTTAGTTTGGTGCCATTCTTGTAGAAATAAAATTTGTCTTTATATAATAAATGATATTTGTGCTTAAATAACTTACCTGTTGATTTTACGATTTCAAATCCATCTTTTTTTGTATTGTTAACTGGAACATGAAATTCTTTCTCTACGTCGTAATCTGAGTCACTACCTGTATCATCACTATCAGCACCTTCTTTTTCTTCAGAGTTGTAGTCGCTGTCTTCTGATTCTTCCCGAAGATCTTTCTTGCTAACTTTCCTACTTTGTTTATTCAAATCTCCTATTTCCTCTCCAATAACTTTGCCTCCTTTTTTCTTGAAATTCTCCACCATTCTATCCAAATCTGCATCCTCATCCTTTTCATCAATAAGATTTTTGAAAGCAACTCTATCGAACCAGAGTTCTGCTTTATGGGCTTTCTTTTTTTCTTTGTCTCTATAGTCTAAATCGGTGATGAGAGGATGTTCCTCCATTGTTTTACTTTTTTTCTGAGAATTTATTTTTACTCTCTTCTTAGGTGAATCATCACCACTCTCTTCCTCTCCCAGTCCTATGAAAAAACCAGATCAAATGTATTTTCATTAATCAAAAAACTTCGTTTCACTTTATAGTACTTTCATTTAAAATATGGCAAACTATGAGTGAATTCAAAGAAAACAAGAATACATAACAGTTCAAAATTACTAATTGCATATGAGATTGCAACAATTAAAAAAATTATTGAAATGAATATAAGAAAAAAAAACAGGTGAATATTTTCACAGATGACCTTTCTGAAAAATTGATGTGAACAGAAATAGCTGACGATTTGGCAAACCTATCTACAATTATTTATGATGAACTATCCTAAAATATTGAAAAGGTTTTCAAATTTGTCAACTGTTTTCAGCTTTTTTATGTATTTTGACAATCGACCTAACATGTTTTGATTGGTTTCCGCCATTAGTGAAAGTGCGCGGAAAATCAGCACTATAAATAACATGGCAGAAATGATAGCTTCAGTTTCAGTTGTCAAGTGAAGAAGAGTACTCCCACCACGCCACTGAAGATGACTGCTGCAGTTGCAGTTGAAACGTTTGGAGATTATAACCAAAGAAGACTACGGCAAAACCCAGTCGTTTTTAGAAACGAAAGCCCGTATATTCAGATGTTAAATATGGTTGGTAGACCACGCCAAAACCCGAAAACCAATCAAAACATTGACGCCAGCCGTGAAAGCTTACATTCCTATAATCGACCTAATATATGTTTTTAAATCCTATTATTTTGAGCCTCCAAATAGAATTTAATTTTACATAATTTTTTAGCTTTTTGTTCATATCGTTTTTGGAAATGAAAGCCCATCTATTCAGATGTCAAATATGGTTGCTTAATTTATGTATCAAGAAGAGTGTTACAGTTCCGTAATTGTGGGAGAAGTATTTTCAACCAGCGAAGAAAATGCAGGAGTAACTATTCATTTAGGAAAATTTAACAGTGATAATCAGCATATTGCATCTTTGTATAAACAAAGTTAATATTAAATGACTAAAAATATTTTAATTTTTTTTTTAAATTGTTTACCTAGTCCTTCTTTAATCTCTTCATCTTCATTCTCAGTTTCATATTCAAGCTCAGAGTCAGAATCCTTATAATAAGTTCCTGAACTATCCAAATGACCTTGTCCTTTTTCATATTTTGTATATTTTGGAATTTTTCTTTCGTCATCTGATTCTCCATCTGATTGTGCCACTGTATCAGGTGTTTGATCGATGATTTTTTTCATCTTTGTAGAATCCTTTACTTGCTTTAATGAAAACATATCATCACCTACCATTGTTGGTCCATCATCATTTTTCAAAATCATTTTTAGATTCAAACGTTCATTGAGTTTCCTCCGTTCTTTCTGAACTTTCTTTTTTTTGCGTTTCTGTTCACGATATTCACCTTCTTGTAATTCAGTAATTTGTTGATCCACTTGTTTTAAGTCATTATCGTCATCATTACTATCTCCACAGTCATCCTTTTTCACCTTTGGATCACCATCAATTTCATTTTTTTCTTCTGAATCAGTCTGCTGTTTCACATATTCATCATGGAAAAACTTTCGCCAAGTCAACAGATTACGAAGGTCTTTTCTACCAAGAACTTTTATATCCTTTACACATTCCTTGATTTCAGGAGTGGTTTTTTCGTTATTAAGTATATCTGTATCATCAAATACAATCTATAACAAATTAAATAAATATTAAATCGATGGATGTAGCCGTTACTACATGGTAGATCATTATAAAAATGAGAAATAATTTTTTTTAATGTTTATTGTATTCCTATGAAAATGTCCTTAGTAAATATTCAACACTCAAGAAAATTGAATAACCAAAACATAATTGAAACTTTTGTGAAATATCCAAAATAAATATCAATTTACTATCTAAAAAATTGTCTCATAAACAAAAACATGCACTAAAATTATGAATGTATCATAATGAATATTTTATTGCAAACATCTATTCAAAATCACACAAACTCAAATATCAATAAATAATAATACGTTGGTGTCATTTGAAGAATTATTCAAAATAAATCATTTTTACTGACAACCAGTTACTCCTACACGCAACCTTTAGAAGTCTTCAAGAAATCTGTGTAAATTAAGAGAAGACAAGAGTCTAACTTCTTGTTTGAAGGTGATTGACAATGTTTCATGATGAATTTCATTAGTTTGGACTTCCAGTGTCTGATATTACATAAAATGATTTGAATTCCCTGAAAGAATTAAAAAGAAGAATTAAAAAAGAATAGCTGAAAATAACAATTATATTGAGCAAAAAAATATATCATCTCCTGATGACGCCAATTTAGACAGTGGAACTCGCGTCAAAAACACGCAGATGCAATGTTCATGTATGAGAGCAGTTTTTCTTTCGGATTATTTTCTTCATTGCATGAAAGCGATGAATAAATTGAGCCAACGTTTACAGAGTTTTATAGCGATCAAATGCACCAATACAGTTCAACCGATTAAAATCTCATAATATCTCATTCTGGATAACAATCGGATAGTAATCAAGAATGTATAAACCTCTGAAGAAGCCAGCCACTCACTCCAGCGACGCGTCAGGAAGAAATTCCAAAAATCCATGGCTTTCAAACCAGAAATTATTTTTTATTTTTATTGTTGTTATGTTCCATTTCAGATTTCACTACTAATTTTAGATCACTATCATCCTTTAATCGGCATTTTTGTGGAGGACTCAATATTTTATACCGTTTTTTTGGGTTTATAATGTTACACAATCGGAACAGATAAGAAATAAATCAACAGAGAATCTGCTGAAGTATAGTAAACGGGCAAACTGAAAAGTTTACCTGGAAAGTTACTGACTTGTGTCAAAAGAAATTAGAAATATCACAGTTTGAAGTGAGATTTCCATAGTGAATGCAGGTTTCGAAAACGGAAAAGGATTGTTTTCCGAAACGTTAACCACTTAAGAAAACTAAGTATCAATATTTAATTTTTTCAATTGATTTTTTTTCAATTTGTAGATAACATTTATGCGTACCTACGTCAAGTTACTGACTAATTGGGCTTTCCAGTAGTTTATATTACGTAGTAACTTTTCAAGGTGAACTTTTCAGTTTGCCCTTTTACTGCACTTCAGCAGATTCCCTATTGATTTATCTTTTATTTTTTCAGATTGCTGACTCTGTATTTTCGGAATGCGACATTTATCTCATTACGTCATCAGCATCTTTTGTGCACAACATTACCCACAATGTGAAACACTCATTTCATACATAACATTACGACTTAATGTTACTGAAATGAACGAATCTATACTTATGTCACAATGTGTAAAGACATTCATACGCTTATTTGGTTCGATCCCAACCATAGGAATCTTGTTGAACTTGAAAGGGTATATTTCCAGCAGATATGAGTGAATATGAAAATAACTTCCATGCATGATTTACACATTTTTGTAAATTTTATCAATACTCTTTCATATATTACGTTGTGAAACTTTCCTGATAATATATGTTTCAATTCTATTAGGAACATTTGGATTTGAAACGGAATAGAAAAAAGTTAATTTCATTAGTTCGGATTTCAATTATCTGATATCATATAAAAGAATTTGAAATCCCTGAAAGAACTAATGAAAAAGAAGAATTGAAAATGAATAGCTGGAAAAAACAATTATATTAAGCAAAAAACCCTGAAAGTAAATAATAGTGTTAGAACAATTGAACAAGAAATAAAAAATATAAAAATCAATAGATTTTAAGTCAGATTACTTCACGACGTTTCGATTGTTGGTATCCACAATCGTCTTCGGGTGATGAACCGAAGGATTCAAATCATTTTATATAATATCAGATAATGGAAGTCCGAAATAATGAAATTCATCATGAAACATTACCAATCACCTTCAAAACAGTCAACCAGAAGACATTTGTGGATACTAACAATCGAAACGTCGTGAAGTAACTTGGCTTGGAATCTCTTAATTTTTTTATTTTTGCATTTTTTCTTAAATTTTTCTATTTTTACTTGTATTTTATTCAACTGTTATTTTTCAGATTTTTTGCTCAATATAATTGTTATTCTCAGCTATTCATGTTTAATTCTTCTTTTTAGTTTTTTCAGGGAATTAAAATCATTTTATATAATATTACATAATGGAAGTCCAAACTGATGAAATTAATTAATCTAACTTCTTGATAGGTGGAATTGGAACCTCTGGCATAAACCGAGTTTTAGTCATCTCCTGAATATGCTTACTTGGTTGTTCTTCAATTTTATTCAGGTTTAGTTGTCTCCTGATTATGCTAACTTGTTTAGCGAAGTGCGCGTCAGGAGACGGATTGGGAAAAGTATTTTCAGTAAATTTTAACCTCATGCCGTGCGCTCCCAAAGACAACAGAGAACATTGCATAGAAAGTTACCTAGTTAAGTGATTCAATAATTTTTCTGTAGAAAGGTTGGTTGGGTAAGAGAATCAATTTTTCTTAAAAAAAAAAATTGTTTCCTTGTAAACGTTTCGACTTTAATTAAATTCTCCTTCAGGGCTCGAAAAGAAGTTTTTTTGAGTTAATAACACAACTATTTTAAAAACAATCAGACATATTAGATATAAAGTAAAACATTGCAACAACCACATTTTTGAGACAACACCAACACAAAACGACATGAAACAGATTAATGGCTTTATCTGGCTTGATCACAGAAAAAGCCATTCTTTTGTTTCATGTCGTTTTATGTTGGTGCTTTTCGAAAATTTGGTTGTTGCAATGCTGTTTTTTAATTTATATCTAATATGTCTGATGATTTTTAAAATAGTTATGTTATTAACACTAATTGCATAGAAAGTCTGTTCAAAATCCGGTCACCTATCTAAGTAATGAATAATATGCATAACTCAACTCTGATCGAGCTCTCACACTGACCTATTTTCGACTCTTGGACAAATCGTCAACATAAATATAAACACATAATACTGAAATACATGTCCTAGATAGGATATAAAACAAATTCTGTTTCATTTTTAATAACAGTACAGTGATAAAAACTCATTATGTATGCAAAACACAAGATGCTTGGCATAAATTCTGTTAATTACTACTTATTTTTTCATAATTGAATAGAACTGGCCGATACTTGATGAAAATCCATATTAAAAACTAATTAATACAGTTTATTGTATGATTTTCACTATAAAGTGTTTTACAAAAACCGCAACACGTGTTTCGCTATACAATAGCTTTCTCAAGCATAAACTGCCAGTTTATGCTTGAGAAAGTTTATGTGGTGGATTTCGTCAAAATAAACAACTTTTCTTATAAAAATCATTCGTTTTCGAAATACATATTGAAATTTTTCAAAACACGGTTGGTTTTTGTCATAAGTTTTTTGAAATTTTAGTTATAATTGTAAATATCCCGAAAACGATCACCTCCAGCATTGCTGGGGAAGTGTACCTTTTTTACTTGGAAAAGGTGTGGGAATTAGGTTTTTTCATGAAAAGTATCAAAAGTTTACAGTCAAAAAAGTTAGAGCAATTTGAAATACTGGCAGCGTACACAGCGTCCTCTAGATTTTACATGAAAATTAATAAGAAATTATGATTTTCCACGTCAAACAAACCCTGGGAACCAAATTTCGTGCAAATAACTGATTTTTTGCAAATGTTATTATTGAAAATCGAACAAAAAAATTCAATTTCAACACCCAGTGTCTCCGAAACGATTTTTTTCTTGACAGAAGTTCATATAGACATTTTTTTCTTGAAATTGTCTCAGGAATATGTCACTTGAATATTTTAACGTACTTATGTTACATCCTGTATATTATTTTTCTATTACTTAATCATCACTACGGCGACATGGTTTGAAGAATTTGATAGTATTCAATGAACCTTTTTCCTGAAGTACAAAAAATCACTCACTAGCAGCGCTAGTAGTTCGGTAGAGACAAACACTTCCTAATCCTCATATAAACATATGGTAAAGTACAATTAAAAAATAATGTTTTTAACAGAAGAAAATGTTCCTGGAGCAAAACTAAAATTTGCAACTGTAAAGGATAACAATGTTGTAACATTAAAACGTTGACTTGCATGCCGTAATTTAAAAGTAACTGCAAGCCTCTTTTCATAGCTCACGGTATTTTAACAGTAGCTGCCCTGTTTATCTTGGAATCAATTTGCTTAATAAAAAAAAATATTCTTGTGCATCTCCCCCTTCCTAATATAATACACGTAGCCACAATAGTAACATAGATCTGCCTATTCCTGTGAGCTCCCTTGTTAGGGATTCAATTATATTCAACGGGATCAAACTGTTTAACCACTTACCAGCCCGAATTAAAGAAATTATAGTGCTTAACAAATTCAAAAAAGCAGTTAAAATGCTACTTGTTGATAGGGCTCATTATTCAGTTCAGGAGTATCTTGACGATTCACTTGAATCTTAACTTTTATTTCTATGTCCTGTTATTTCCAGCTGAATACCTCAGTGTATTTCACATTTTTAGCTTATGTTTATTGTATTTTGTTTAAATTGTGTATGTTTTTTTTATGTAGATTTTTGTATCTTACATGTTATTTATGACTTTGTCTACAAGATGTAGTTCTTCAGACAATAAAGTATATTTGATTGATTGATTGA